GCTCTCATTTTTATATTATATTATAAGATATAACTACTATATAATATATTTTAATTATATTATAATATTGAAGGGTAATTATGGAAAAAAATAAAAAAATAAAAATTTAGAATGATCATTCCTTCCATATGAAGAAGGAATGATGATTCACCCAAAATGGGTGAATGACCATTCCTTTTGAATGATCATTCCTTTCTTATAAATCCAACCAAACATCAAGCTAGAATTTCATTTCATTCTATTCCATTCATTTCCACCCAACCAAATACACTCTAAGAGTTTTGTTATCATTAGTAGCCAATTATAATTAGGAGCTACAACAGTTTGATGTCTAGAATGCGTTTTTTTGCATGGAGAACTAGAGGAAATCTACATGGAAGTTCCACCGGGTTATGGTCATAACTTAGCTGCACACACAATATGCAGATTAAAGAAGGCCTTGTATGGACTTGAGCAATCGCCGCGAGCATGGTTTGGAAGATTTGCAAAGGTAATGACAGCTATGGGATATCGGCAAAGTCAAGGAGACCATACACTGTTTGTCAAACACTCATCCTCGGGAGTTACAGTCCTCTTAGTGTATGTTGACGACATAATAGTGACAGGAGATGATGATGAGGAAAGGCAGCGTCTCAGTCGATGTTTAGCTTATGAGTTTGAGATTAAGATGCTAGGGAGGTTGAAGTATTTTCTGGGAATCGATGTGGCTCATTTCAAGCAAGGTATTTTCATCTCACAGCAGAAATATGTTACAGATTTTCTTAAAGAAACCGGGAAGACCGTGTGCAAGCCGGCAAGCACTCTAATAGATCCAAATTTGAAGCTCGGAGAAGAGGAAGAAGATGTCGCAGTGGATAGAGAGATGTATCAACGCTTGCTGGGGAGACTTATATATCTCATACTAGGCCATATATAACATACACGGTAAGTGTGATTAGTCAATTCATGCACAATCCGAAGGAGGCACATCTACAAGCAGCATACCGAGTATTGCATTATCTCAAAGGGACGCCAGGCAGAGGTAGTTTGTTCAAAAGGAATGGAGGAGTAGTGCTTGAAGCGTATACAGATGCAACCTATGCTGGGTCAGTGGTAGACAAGTTATTGCACTTTTATTGGTGAAAACCTTGTGACGTGGAGGAGTAAGAAACAGAATGTTGTAGCTCGTTCTAGTGCAGAGGCCGAATTCCAAGCGATGGCTCAGGTGTGTGTGAATTGCTATAGTTGAATATTATTTTAGAAGACTTGAAGATTAAGTGAGATGGCCCAATGAGACTCTACTATGACAATAAATCTGCAATCAGCATAGCTCACAACCCAATACAGCACGATCGAACAAAGCACATTGAAATCGACAGACACTTCATCAAAGAGAAGCTAGACAGTGGCCTGATTTGTACACCCTATGTATCTACACAGGGTCAACTTGACATGCACTCACGAAAGGACTTAGTAGTTCAGTGTTTCAGAATCTTGTGTCCAAGCTGGGAATGGTGAACACCTATTCACCAGCTTGAGGGGGAGTGTAGAAAACGCAATCTTATTGATTTTGTAAATAGGATATATTAGGAAAGTTTGAATTTTATATTTTGTATCTCTAGGATTAGGGAAATCAGCTAGTTTCCTGATATCTCATGAATAATGGGATAAGGTGTAATCTAGGAGATTCTATTTTTGTGTATAAAACCCTAAGAGGGCCGACTGTATAGTATTATTCAGAGAATAAGAAATATTTTTTATTCTATTTTCCCACATGTTAGTTTACCAACTCATCCCAAAAGCTTAAACTGTTAAGAAGTGAGCCAATAATAGTTTTATACTTTAACACTCCCCCTCATGTGTGGGCTGGACAATAGACAATCATGTGGATAAATTAATTGGAAAGGCCAACACGTAAATATTTAAGCCCGAAATATATTAAGGACCCGACACATAATAACAATTTAAATGGGGATAAATAGTGTAATTACGGAGGTTTAAACTCAGGACCTCCTGCTCTGATATCATGTTAGTTTACCGATCCATCCCAAAATATTAAGCTTTTGAGATGGATTGATAAATCATCCTAATACCAGACAAAAGTCCGTACGCTGAAACAAAAATATAAAAAAAAAATTACAAAATGCACGTCCAACATCAAACCTCTGGAATTTACCCTCATTTTACAAGAATCCACAAAACCAAAAACTTTTCTATTGCAACTTGAAATGGTCTGCACAATAATAAACAATTGTTTTAATATGACATCCTCAATGATAAAAAATTCACAATTCAGAATCAACCAAAGATAAGTACACAAACATAAGATAGCTAACAACAAACAAGATATAGAGAATCTCTCAAATTCAACTTCAAATTTTAGGGTTATTTTAGTCATTCAATCTTGTATAAAATCTATTTTTTTATTTCAATAAAAAATCTATTAACGTAATTAAAATTTGGAATCTCTACGTTTGCAAACAATTCATACTAATTAACGAGAAATTAAAAAACCATAAGAAAGCCCGAACTTAAATTTCTATCCAAAGACAATCTATTTTTCATCTCTATTTAAATCCAATCTTCAGACAAAGAAGAAACTTCGTTCAAAATAATCAAATTAATCGCAAAAAAAAAAAAAAAAAAAAAAAAAAAAAAAAAACAAAAAAAAAAAAAAAAAAAAAGCTTTTCAATCTATGTCATATCCACCTCATGCTCTCTCACATCTCTTTTTGCACATTCATGGTTTTTTTTTCGGTGATTTTCTTGCCAAAACGATTTGTATCCTTTGTTTCCCAACTTGAATATCAGTGTTTGCATTTCCTCTTCTACACCAACAATTATTATCAGTTTCAATAGGGAGGGAGGCAACAGTCGTCGTATTGCCAAGGTTGGAAACTTGTGGCGTCACGGGGTTGGTGAACTTGCAGCATTGCCCAGGGTGGGTGAACTTGTGGGGTAGCTAGCAGTGGGGAAACTCACAGCGTCGCTTAGGGTTGATGAAATAGCAGCGTCCTTGGGTGGGTAAACTCACGGTGCTGCTGGGGCTGGGGGAATTCGAGTCGTCACTGGGGAGTGGGGGCCTCGCAGGTTGCAGCATCAGGGACGGGAATGAAGAAGATGAATTAATTTTTCTTCTGTTTATAATATATGTAAATTTGATTTTTGTTTTTTAATGCAAATTGGTGATATGTGGGCAGAATGTTTAGAAAGCAACCGTAATTATATGCCATGTGTTATCTCCATCAAAAACCCTAATGGAAGTAGGTTATTTGTTATGATTTCATAGTTCGAGAGAACGAATGTTGCGTTTAAAAGTTCAAGGAGCAAGATATGGAGAATCTCCTAAAATCAACTTCGAAAATGAAAATATCATATTTGTAATTTTACCGGTACTAAACTGTGGAAAAAACTGTATATAGCTGGAATACAGGCTGAAAAGCCGTGTACAGCTAGGTGATTTTAGACAATTAGTTTGATGGATTATTTCCTTAGAAGTAGAGATAGTTTCCTAATTTGTTAGTTTCCTAATTTGATAGGATACAGACTTAATGATAGGGTTACTGGAGTTGATGTATATATATGTATGCAGTGTATACCATGATTAATATGAATGAAAATAAGAAGTTTTCATTTCAGCTTCTCTTTGTCAATTCACCACATAAACAATTACTCCTCACTAAAATTTTGTTTTTCTTTCGATTCAAATTTAAAGTCGAAAAGAGAGGGGACACAAAACTTGACATATTAACTTGAAGATTCGCTCAAACTTCGTAGCATCAAAAAGGGTTGAAATGGCGTTCACCCTCAAACAGACACCTCGTACTTTGAATTCTCAAAATATGTATCGTTTATCATTATCAAAGACACTATTGTCTGTCATTACCAACAACGAACTCACAATCTGTATGGACCAACACCAACATAACCCGGCATTAAAATAAAATACCACATGTAAGAAATATCCCTAAGGAGGCGTTTGGTATGCGATAATCAGTAAGAATCATATTACTGAGAAAGTGATAAGAGGGTAATATGATTTCCAGGAAACATGCATTATCACGTTTGGTTACACATAGGAATCCTGGGAATACCATTTTACTGTGTTTAGTTACGCACAGTAATGTAAAGTAATTTTTTTATATAATAAACAATTTTAAATATTTTAAGATTAATTTATTAAATATTTTGCTAATGAAATTTACTCAAACAAATTATTATAGTTTTGACATCTTAGGTTTTTTTCCCAAATATAATTAAAAATATTAGAAAAATGTAAAAAACGTAAAAAAGGAATAATCAGAATCAATTTTAAAATTAACAAAAGAAAACAAGCTTGTAAAAAAGAAAAGGCAGCCTCCCTTCTTGATCCCTTCCTTTCCTTCTCTTTCTCTCTCTCTCCACCCTCACAAATTCAAATCAGATCTCTCCCCCCATCCAAATCATGAATGGCATAGCACGGAAAGAACAGCAGCCTGCGGTGGAGGGAGTCTGTGATGGTTGGGAAAAGCTGTGATGAAGGGGGCTAAGATTAGGCCTGCAATGGTTGTAGGCTATAATGGAGGGGGCTTGCAACGGAGATGGGAGGGGGCCTAAGACGGTGGTCTTTCTCGGCGACGGTAGCCATGGAGGTGGGGAGGCAATGACCGACGGCCGATGACTAAGCATTGGGGATGGGTTTGCAAGTTTGTGGTGGCCGGGTAGCTCACGATCTATGGTGGTGGTGGTGTGGGTGGGCTGTGATTATGGGTACTTTGGTGAGATTCCCATAAATATAAGATTCTCGAGCATCTGAATCACCTTGTTAGGTGTTAGTCAGATTACCAATATTTGTGGTAAAATGAATCCCATGGGATTTACTTTCTTGGGAATGTAAAAATTACAGTTCTTATACCAAACGTGGGAATGTGAGAAGATTCTCATTCCCACTCAAAGATTACCCCTACCAAACATCCGTTAAAGAGAAAAAAGAAGAGCTTAAAAACCTAGGTAGAGAAAATGGAAGATCGTACCTCATGATTTACAGCAAAGATTGGGCCATAGCAACCAATCACATCTTGCCACACAATTCTCCACTGAAACTACAACACTCAATTGAAACTACAAAACAAACAAAAAAAAAAAGGAAAGATATTATTAGCACCATGCAAAGTTAAAGAAAGAGAAAATTGAAAACAAAATCAAAATATGAACTTAAAATATTGAGATGGAAAGACAAAAATACAGCAAGTTTTGAAATTAAAATATGTAAATAGAAGGATACCAACAGTCTCTCGTGGGGACAATATTGCTTGGCCTGTGAAGGAGAGAGCTTAGGAACAACAACAAAGATGTGATTGATCTCCCTCCATTTTTCAATTGTCCCCTTGCTCGATTCTCATAAATAAAGAAATTCAAAACAAATTTCATTATAAAAATAAAAAAGGAAACTAAAGATGCCCTGAGGAATCCAAAGAGAAGACCAATGCCAATTGAAATCAAACATTGATAGTTCCCATATATTAAAAGGACAGAAATAGTACTTGTATGTAAATAACAAGAAATTGGCGTGCAAAACATTTTACACAAAATTAAAAGTGAAATATACAACAACAAAACTATGCATCAGATTTTAAGAGTCTTCGATGCAAGCATTGAGAAATTTTGGCGAAGCAAAGTCATTATACAACTATAAAAGAATTAATGTGACTACAGGAAAGGCAATGCCATTACAACAATATTTACTTTTTTTTCTTTTCATTAAGAATGTACAACTAAAAAAAGAAATTTATTCCCTTGTATTAGTGCCTGTCTCCTATCAGAATAACTAATATTTTCCATAATCACTTAACCAGAACGCTGCACCAATTGAATAAGTAAAAAAAAAAAAGTTTCCTACTTGAATCTTGCTCTCATCAAACTTGATTGAACCCATCTAATCCCAAAGAAATTCTAAAAAATTTGGAACCAATCCTAAATTCCTAGTTAAATCGATTAACTTAACGAGGCTCTAGAAACTAAGGACTTGTTCATTTGCATTTTTTGAGTTAGGGTGACTTAAGTTCAAATCTTAATTTGAGTTAAAGTGTATTTGAGTATAGTTTGAGTTAGGACTCTAATTTGAGTTTGTGTTTAGATGTGCACATTTTGAGTTATGGTTTCAATTGATAATCTATTTGAGTTTGTATTTGAGTAGGTCAAAATTTGAATTTGTATTTGGATAGTATTTTAATAAAAACTCAATGGTGATGGAAAATTTTAATAGGATATATGGGCGGGGTTTTATTCGTCTCTTCGTTGTGAACGCATAGAAAAAAAATCATCTCAATCGGAATTAAAACGAAAAAGTTATGGCATTTTTCAGACTAGAAAAAATATTGTTCATTAACTTGAGTTTGAGTTTAGAAACTTGAGTTAAAGGGGGAACTAAAACTCAAATTTTAGCCTCAAACTCATATTAAAACTCAAATTTTACAAAAGAACATGAACTTAAATAAAGTTGTAACTTGAGTTCAAACTTTTTTTGAGTTTGAGTGCAAATAAACAAGCCCTAAGCCTAAAAGTAGAATAAAAGAACTTTTGAACCACACAAGTTAAAAAGGTTGCCTGACCGTCCTTCCTAGAGTATTTCTAATGCTTAGTCCTAGCTAGTAGTGACAAAGCAGTACTATAAAAATGCCCGAAGTTTCTTTTTTCCTTATCTATTGTAGCTTTTTCACTTCTCAGGACTCGAATTATTTGGAGAGAAGATTGAGCAAAATGTACATATGAGATTGAAGTCATGCAGCGGTGGTCGAAATGGTCTCTCGTCCTCCAAAATGAAGTTGCCAGATTCTTTCTCACGACCAAGACCGCCCTTCAGTCAAAATATTACAAAAATAAAAAACAAACTCATTCTAGGTATTAGTATCTTTTTGAAAGATGAGAATACCAACTGACCTACCCTTCGTGCAATTCAACTTGGCATCAACTCATGTCTTGTTATAATCAGCCATAATTCGCAATCGTCAATAATTGAATGATGAGCGTCCTACAAGAAAAACAATGAAAACTAATATAAAGACTATATTACACGTACATAGGAGTTCAATGTTGGATATCTTTAAAATTCTCAGTCCTTACCTATCAATAACATGACTTGGTATCTTAATCTTATGCTAATCATAAAGTCCATTTTACATTTTAGAATTTAGATAGAATCCCAATAAAATGAACTCAACTTTAGCTTTTTTAAAATTTAGGATGTTGGTTGGGTTTCTTCTCAATGAAACTTTGTCTTCATAAAGAAGATAGAACACCACATGAACAGGGGAAAAAAAAAAGAATCCAGTTGATTGTATGAAAAATCCATGTCCAAATATATGTGTTTTTGATAAATTTTTAAGGGCGGAATAGTTAATTGTATGAAAAATCCAGTTGATAACCAACACTTGCAATTGATGTCTCTTGGCTGCTTTTCATATTTCTCCTTATACAACTAAAATGACAGATGATTGGTTACCATCAAGGAAAAATTTAAATCACCTGCCCTTTTTGAAGTTAGCTTTTCGGTGGATGGGTTCTTGGGTTCTAAGAAAAACAATTCCACCACTCAATCAAAGGGAAAAAGTTCAGCACCATTAAGTCACACGAATTTAGTTGAAAATTAAAGAATAAAAACACTATCGGAAAAATTCCAAAAAAATATAGGAAAAAAGAGCAAGTCTTAATAGAACCCATGAAGAAAGAGGGACAAGGTTGAAGAAAAAAGACATGTGCTCTAAATATAAAAAGGCAAAATCTTAAACCCAAAAGGGGTCTTTGTTGTCATCTACTGAGTAGTCAAATAACTTGTGATGCAAGAAATACTATCCTTATTGCTCGAGTGGTTTTAGAAGCAAAGAATTATATAAGTCTTATAACATTATACTTAAAGCTGAGATCCTATTACTGAACTTACACAAATTAAGTGTCAATATATGATTAGCATGAAACCAAGAATTGACAAAATCACATGTGAAAGGAGTTATGCACTATAAATATTTCACCACATGTGGATCCATGAAAGAGTAACCAGAATTATGACTTATTTAGTGAGAAATGAGAGTAATCCATGTCCAAATCTAAAAGTAACAAGAGTGAAAATGAAAAGAAAAAATAAATAAATAAACAAAAATAAACAATACCTATACTCATGAAATTTTCAGTTAAAACTGTAATATGCTTTGATGGTGGAACACTCGATTTTTCGAGCATGTAGAGGATGAGAATAGTGAAGTTTGGGATAGAATTGACTACTGGGTTGCTGATAACTCCATGAAATTGAGTTATTTAGCCTCTTTTGTGGATTAAAAAGTATACTTGTTCTTGAGAATTTATTTAGTTTTTAATACTTTTACCTTATTTTTATTTCATTTTATTTTATTTGGAATTAATTTTATTTTTAGTTTGTTTTAGGTATTTTTATTTTACTTTATTTTATTTTATTTAGTTTCCTTTCAAAATAATTATTTTTCTCATTATGTAATTTAATTTTGGTGATAGGTGGGCTTAAATTATTACCTAGAGGGTAATTAGTATTAGTTTTCTCCTATATTTTGTCTTGTTAATAGTTTTTAGTTATTTGTGTTTCATAAATTCTCTCTCTCGTGATTAGCGTTTAAAAAGAGCTAATTTAGGTGCACTTTATGGTTAATCTCAGCTTTAAGAAAACGTAGTCGTTTGGAGCTTTGAGCAGCTTTTCGTTTCTGGAATATGAAGGAATCCTAGTCAGCATTACTGTACATTGCTGCAACAAGACGAGCTGGGCCAGACGTGTGTTTTGCTGACAGCTGGACCTGAACTGGTTAATGGGCTGATTTTGTCCGTGAAGGGTGCTGATTGAGCCACTCATTGGAGACTTTCTCATGTGCTGCCACGTGGAATTAGGGTACAATAAGTACCTGCAGCTGAGAAGAAAGAAGGTGTCCTTGGTCATATTTTGTAACTGAACTTAAAAAAGGAAGCCACCTCCATTTCTCTGATCAAGTACCAGCTCCAGTACTGGAAAGAAGAAGAAGGAAACGTCACAGGGTGTTGAACGTAAAGGAAGGTCCATTGTGGATGAAGGAAGCGTTTAGAAGAAATCTTGGAGAAAGGGGATTCTGATTCTCCTCTCTTCACCTTAGTTTTTCTTGCTCTCATTACTCTGTTTTACTTTGTTAAAGAATATTTATGTTCCTCTATAAATCTGAACTCGAATTCATATATATATAACTCTATGAGATTATGATTTGTTGGCTGAGATTGTTGAGTTGTTAAATATTGAAATGTTAATTGATGTTGAATGGATCTGATGATTATTTCTTTGTTTATTCAAGTGAGCTGAATTTGTGCCTTAACTGTGATTGGGAAATCATAAGAGGGGAGTATAGCTTTGATTAGATCTGAGAAGATTTAGTTGAGTGGACACAGCTTGAATAGTGCAAGTTATTAGATCTTGTTTTAGATTTTTAATTCACATGATATAAGAATATATTGTGTCTTGCATAACCATATGATTTAGAGTTTCATTCTCTGATTTTAAAGTCTAGATTTGCAAAGGGATTTGTGAGATTTAGCTTTAAGATCGGTAGACAGAGGATTGGAAAATCCCTGGTTTAGTAAATCTGGTTAACAAGAAGTCTTCGTTGCCGTCCGTTGCTGCAGCATCGCGCAGCATTAATAGGAGACAGTTTAGCAATTGTGAGCCACGCACAGTGACTTTGACCAATTTTATTTGCACATTTTGTTATTAATTAGTTTTATTTTTGTTGTTCATTTTCTTACAGTCAAATTATTATTAGTTTTTAACATCTTAAAATCAACTTTAGTTTTCTTCTTAAAAACTTGAATAGAATTAACTTAGCAATTTGATTTCAAAAACACTCAATCCCTGTGGGACGATACTTGGTTATTCATCATTTTACTACTTGTTGACTCGTGCACTTGCGAGATTCTAGATTCACAATTTACGCAACAAGTTTTTGGCGCCGTTGCCGGGGAGTGGGGTTTAATTTTAGTTGATATTGATATCATTTAGCTCTAGGAATTATTTGGTTACTTTCTTACTCTTCTTTGCTTTTAGTTTCTGTTGTTCTTACTTTTGTTTTTGAGCTTTGTTTTTCTTGCGAGGTACTTGAGATGTCACATCGGCAAGTCCTCTTGAATTTTGTTCAAGATGACTTGGAACCTTTACATAGCGCATGGTGGAGATACAGGGCTTTGTTAATGAGGTTCTCATCTCATGGTTTCTCCAAAGAGTGTCAACTTGAAGTCTTTCTCAATAGGTTATGTGTTACGACAAGAAATTGGGTGGAAAGAGAAGATGGTACCACCACTTTTTACCAACTATCTGTGGATGAGGCCTATTGGATGTTGGAAGACATGGCGGAGTATGACAAGTGGAAGTGGGATTGCTCAATGACCAACCATGGTTGGGAGGACAATTACAAACAATGTGGAGCCAAGTTTTGACACCTACCCTCATGAAAACTCAAGTTCCATTGAGAGCTTGTTGAGGGATGCCATAGCTACGAATGATGCCATCCTTCAAAGCCAAGAAACTTTGTTGAGGAGTTTGGAGAATCAAGTAGGACAAATAGTTAATGTATTAAACAATCGTCCTCAAGGTTCATTTCTAAATGACATGGAGAATCCTAGGCAAGAAGGTAAGGACCATGGTGAAGCAACCACTTTGAGGAGTGGGAAAGAGATTGACAAACAACAAGAGCCCCCTTTGATCCAAGAAGAAGAGAGCAAC